CCTACCCACCCCCTCAGGCTGACCTCTGCCCTAACACACTCCCCTCGGGTGCCTCTTCCCTACCCCCACCCCCAATGACCTCTGCCCTACACTTACTCCCCCAGACTGACCCTTCCCCCCCAAAAACACTCTCCCCGTTTTTGCAACTAATCCCCGGGCCCTTCCCACACACTCCCCCAGACTGACCCCTTTCCCCCCACACACCCCCTCAGCTGCCTTTGCCCCAAAACGCCCCTCCCACCCCGACTGACCTCTGCCCTACAAAACCCTCCCTCGCTGAACCCCTGCCCCACACAAACTCCCCCAGATGACCCTGCCCTACACAAACCCCTAACTGAACCCCTTTCCCTACACTCCCCTCCCTCAGCCTGACCCCCTGCCCTACACACACAACCCCCCAGACTTTAACCCCTGGGCCCCAAAAACAAACCCTCAGACTGCCCCCTGCCCTAAAAACACACTCCCTCAGGGTGACCTCTGCCCTACAACCCCTCCCCCCAGACGAAACCCCTTTCCCTTTAAAACCCCCCCCTCAGACAATTTTAAAACCCCCCTCAGTTTTCCCCAAAACCCAAAAAAACTCCCCCAGGCTGACCTTGCCCCACAAACCCCTCCCCCAGACTGACCTCTGCCCTAAAACCACACCCTCCCCAAAGACCCCCCGGGCCCTGCCCTTTCACACATTCCCTCAACCCACCCCTGCCCTACACACCCTCCTCGGGCTGACCCCCCCTTCCCCGCCCTAAAACCATTTCCCCCAGAGACCCCTGCCCTTTTTTCACACTTTCCCCCCTGGCCTCTGCCCCTACCCACTCCCTCAGACGACCCCTCCCTACACTTACTCCCTCAACGGCCTCTGCCCCCACCACCCCCTTCCCCCTCAGACTGAACCCCTGCCCTACACCACTCCCCAGGAACCCCGAAACCTCCCCGGCTAGCCCTACACCCCCACTCCCCAGACCGACCTTGCCCCCAAAAACAAAACTCCCCCCCAGAATGACCTCTTTCCTTTCACCCCTCCCCCCCAGACGACCTCTCCCCCCCAAAAAACACTCCCCCAGAAGCCCTGGGCCCCACAAAACACTCCCCCAGACGACCCCTCCCTACCACCCCCCAAAAAACCCCCTGCCCTACACAACTCCTTCAGACCGCCTTGCCCCACACACACCCCTCAACCGGGCCTCGGGCCCCCCCCACACTCCCTCATAAATGACCCCTTCCCAAAAAAAACCCCCTCCCTCGACTGACCTCTGCCCTTTCACACACTCCCCGTCGCCAAACCCCTGCCCCTACACAACCCCCCTTTAGACCCGACCTCCCCTTCACCACTCCCCTCAGACTGACCCCTTTCCCCACACACACTCCCCTTAAAACTGACCTCTGCCCCACCCACCCCTTGACCCCTTGCCCACACCCTCCCCAGACTGGGCCCCTGCCCTACAACCACTCCCCCCAGACTTCCTCTACCCTACCCCCACACTCCCCCAACTGACCCCTGCCCTTTCACACACTCCTCAGTTTAACCCCCTGCCCAAAACACACTCCCCCAAACTGCCCCTGCCCTAAACACCCCCCCTCAGACGACCTCTTTCCCACAAAACCCCCTCCCTCAGGCCCGACCCGCCCACCCACTCCCCCAGAAGGGCCCCTTTCCCTACTCACACTCCCCCCCGCGACCCCTGCCCCCAGCCCAAAACCCTCCCTCCGATTTGACCCTCCCCCACACACTTTTTCCCAGCTGAATTTTGGGGCCCCACCCAAAACCCCCCTCGGCTGACTTCTGCCCTACCAAACCCCATTCCCCCAATGACCCCTGCCCCACAAAACACTCCCTTACTGACCCCGCCCCCACACACACTCCCCCCAAGACCCCGCCCCCCTTTTTCCCCTACCCCCAAACACTCCCCAGAATGAAAACCCGCCCTAAACACCAAAACCCCCCAGGGCTGCCTCTGCCCCCACACCTCCCTCAGGTGACCCCTGCCCTACACCAATCCCTCAGGAAAATGACCCCTGCCCAAAACACACCCCTCAGGACTGACCTTTGCCCTACCCCCACACCCTCAGACTGCCCCCTGCCCTACTCACACTCCCTCAGGGCGACCTCGGGGCCCCACCCCCACAAAAAAGGCTGACCTCTGCCCTACCCCCCACAACCCCCCCGTGACCTTGGGCCCCACACACACCCCCTCAGACTGTCTCTGCCTTTTTCCCCTCCCCCATCCCAAAAACTGACCTCTGCCTACACACACCCCTCGGGCTGGGCCCCTTTCCCAACCCCCACACTCCCCCAGACTGTCCCCGGGCCCCACCACACTCCCTAGATTTTCCTCGCCCAAAACCCCACTCCCCAGACTGACCTTTTGCCCTACACCCCTCCCTCAGACTACCCCTTTCCCTACCCCCACTCCCTCGACTGAACCCCGGGCCCCTTTACCCCCCCCCTCGACTAAACCCCTCCCTTTCACCACCCCTCAGACTGACCTCTGCCCTACCCCCACACCCCTTTACTCTGCCCAAAAAACATCCCTAAAAATGGGAAACCCCGGGCCCACACACAAATTCCCCCCGAAATGACCTCTGCCCTAACCCCCACTTTCCCCCGACTGACCCTTACCCCCCCACACTCCCTCAACTGGCCCCTGCCCTTTAAAACCCCCCCTCGATGACCCCCTGCCCTACACCCTCCCTCTAATGGAAACCCCCTGCCCTACCAACCCCTCCCTCAGATGACCCTGCCCCACAACACCCTCAGACTGAAAACCCCTGGCCCCCACCACACTTTTCCCCCCAGACTGAACTCTGCCCTTCAACACACTCCCTCCTTCTGTCTTCCCCCACACACACTCCCTCAGACTGATTTTTGCCCTACAAAAAAATTTCTCCCAAATGACCCCCCCAATGTTTTCACAAACCCCATCCCCCCAGCGACTCTGCCCTTTCACCCTCCCTCGACTGACCTCTGCCCCCCAAAAACACACCCCCCTCCCACCCAAATGACCTCTGCCCCCCCCACACACTCCCTCAGACTGCCTCTCCCTACCACACACTTCCTCAGCTGACCCCTGCCCTTCACACAAACCCCCCAGACTGCCCTGCCCACACACCCCCTTTACCTTTTCCCTACACCATCCCTCAGACTGACCTCTCTGCCCCTAACCCCCAAAAACCACCCCCCCCTCGATTTACCTTTTGCCCTACACACCCCCTCCCCCCCAGACTGACCCCTGCCTTTCACACACCCCTCATCTGACCTTTTCCCTACAAAAACCCCCCGGGTCTTCCCCCAAAAGGGCCTCTGCCCTAAAACCACTCCCCCAGACTGCCCCTGCCCCACACAAAACTCCCCCAGGCTGACCTCTGCCCTACCCACTCCCTCGACTAATCTGCCCTTCCCCCCTTCAGGCCTTGCCCTTTTTAAAAACCATTTTTTCTGTATTACACAAACCCCACCCTTGTAAAACTCCTCAATTTCTAAATCCCTTTTTCATATATAAATCGACGATTTTAACAATCCCCCCCGAATTTTCCCAAACCCTTTAAAACTGATTTTAACGAATTTGATTTTAAACTTAATTCCTTTTAAAAAATTTTAATTTCCCCCTTGTATTTTTTCATATTTTAAATTCCTTGTTTTTAGGGTGAAATTTAAAATAAGACGAACAACCTAAGATTTTGGTTTTAATAAATTTCCCTTTATTTGCCCTTTTAAACAATATTGGGAAATGGTTTTTAAACTCCAAAAAGGGTATTGGGGGAACAATTTACTGATCCTGGTTTTAAAAAAATAAAGGTTACCCTGTAAAAAAATTTCGATGGTTTTACACACAATCCTCAAAACCCGGTCAAAATACCCCAGGTTTACCCCCTGGCCCCTTTTAAAAACCCCCCGGGGATTAAAGGGCCCCACTTAACCCCCTAGGACGAATTGGAATCAAATTCCCCCTTTCTTCCCCGCGACCTTTTCAAACCCACCTCAGAGGGCCTCCTGTAACCCCCCTGTCCCTATGAAAGCTTCTGTAACTGTATGAAGGGACGATTGCGTCACAACTGGCGACCTCTGACGCAGAGATGTCACAGCAGTGGTGTGAAACCTTCCTAGTGTAAGCCTCGTAGTTTAGTATAGAGCTGGAACTGCTACCACTCAGGGCTACGGTTGGGGTCCCTATCCATTGATATACACACACCATTGAAGACTAGTAGCGACCAGTGAAGAGGCGGGGCCAGGAGCTACGACTCCACCCCTGCAGTCACAATTAGGTGAACACACACACAACTATATATATTTTTTTAACAAACCGGCCGTATCCCACCAAGGCAGGGTGACCCAAAAGGAAAAAACGAAAGTTTCTCTTTTTAAATTTAGTAATTTATAGAAGAGAAGGGGTTACTAGCCCCTGGCATTACCTATATACATTATATATTATAAAGTATTAGGTATGCAACAAAACCATCGGGTGGAGGGAGGCGAGAAGCGCAAAAGGTACACAACAGTGTACAACAGCCAGATGCAAAGTCCTTCAGTAAATTAGCTAGGAACAAGCCAAATATTCAGAGAACTGGGTGGAGATGCGTGACATGTTTTTCAAAACCTGGTTGTTCCAGAATGATCTCACTTGTGACCACAACTATTGTTCTCCCATCAAACATTCTAAATTATTATTATTATAATCAAGGGGGTAGCGCTAAACCCGGAGGATTATACAGCACCTGGGGGGGGGGATGTGGAAAGCATTCAGGCTTAATTCGGGGAACTGGAGCACAGATCCAATTCCCTAAATCAAGAGCCCCTCACCAACATCAAGGAACCTTCCTTGAGGGGAAACATTCTAAAGTTCAAAAGATCTAAAATCACTACTGATAATTTTGAAGTATTATTCCCACTGTCTTCTCAACATTCGTCTAGTGCCTTATTGTTATATTTATGGGGAAGCGCTAAACCCTCTAGGGCCAGCGTCTGGAGAATGGGAAATAATCAGATCTGGTTCGAAAAAGAAGAGGGTAGATCCAGTTCATTGAATCAAGAGCCCTTCACCAACATGGATTATTAGTGTATGAAGGTAAAAAAAAAATCATATGTCAGTTGCATTTGGTTTATTTATTTAAAAACTATCTAATGTCTATAAAGATAGGGAATCTTTACACTTGGTTCTTGAACAGACAAAATATGCAAGAACCGTCCTCCATCCAGGGTGTGACCTCTCCCAGGATGCGACTAGTTCTGTGTAGTTCAGCCTCATGCTGGGGTCAGCCCCCAGAGTCTGGCAAAATCTTTAACGTGACAGAATTTGGTCAGACTACTAACTTGGGTAATTAAATAATAGACTCGTGTCTCTTATTAGTCGAGTCCCAGGGTGTGGCTAACTCCTGGATGTGGCCAGCCCTGGGGTGTTAACATTCTTTAGGTGTGGTCAGCCTTGAGTGTCTTCAATCCCTGGGAATGGAAAACCTTAGGACTGGCCAAATCAGGGGTTTGTCACACCCAAGTGAGGCAAACCCAAGAATGTGGCCCGCCGTAGGTGTAACCAGTCGCTGGGTATAGCTAACCTTGGGTGTGGCCAGGCCTGCGCAAGAGGACAATATCTCTCGGTGATTCTCCATCGTTTGTCAGGTGAGGCTGTCCTTTGCTCTAAGTTTTCACTATAGTAAGATCACTTGTTATGCCTTTATGACATCAGGAAACATTTTGATTGATGGCGAGCAAAGGAGTGTGACGGGATGATAACAAGTGAGAGACTTGGGGACTGACTACAAGTGACTAGGATATATAACGCGTACCTTAGAGCAAAGGACACTTGACTTTAGCCTCTAGGGACCTCTGGAAAGTGCTAAAATTCTCTGTGAAAGACTTGTCGGTGTTATAGATTCCAAAGTAATGAGTATATTTTTTTTGTCTAACAATATTTTCTTCCGTCATTACGATAACTGCATAAGACAATACTTGCTAAAGTTGATCTACATCTACAACACAAGAATCGAAAATAAAAACATCACTCAGGTGGACAAGAAGAATAATAGTCGATCACAGTTCCTGTGTTTGGGTGATGCACGTGTGGTGGGAGACCGTCTCCACGGCCGCTAATACTGCAACTCACTCTCTCAATGAGTTAATCCTATAGACTTAGGCGTCGTGTGCGTAACTTTAAAGTTAATCAATAAGGAATGTGCCCACAATACAATGCTCTGTACACTCTTTTTATACACCGCTACGCTATATGTACACTCATACCCACTTTGGCACTAGTGCAGTGCTAGGTTCACTGCTGGTAGGTGCGTCCTAACTAGGTGACGGACGCGATAACCCTACCGATGAACAGCCCCCTTTGGTAATTTCATGTCCCTGTGTAAGTGCAGGAAATATATAAAAGCGCACTCTGGATTATTTTAATTAACACCAAACAATCTAGTTTGATGCTCCAGTGTCCAGGATGCTGGATAGACTGGTCAGCCGCGGCCATGTTAGTATACTGGAGCCAGCAATGTCTGGCGGAGGCACGCACATTGCACCTCACACTCAAAGAATTTTGCATTCAGGTCTGACTTCCATCTGGCACCTGATGCTGTTAAGAGGTTGTCCCCCCCACTGGGCACTTAATTTGTCAGTGGATTCATCCCTGACATAACATCGCCAGACGTTGAATGCCGCTGTTACGGCGGCGGCTCGCCGGCATACTGGACTTTGGAGTGTCTTAACTCCCGCGTCACTTGGTATCCGCAAGACTTAGCGACAAATAAGTTTTGTGTTTCGCTCACAGCTCTGGGTAACAAGGAAAAACAATGTTTAATTCCCTAAGCAAGTAAATAATGTTATTAAGTGCAAGTCTATTATGTATTCTTTGTGCAAATTTCCACTTAAAAGCGTCCCGTTATATTCTTCCGGTAAGCCATGGCAGCGTGGCAGGACGAGCAGGGTCTGATGGACCACCGGCCCAGCAGGTGTGACCACCGGCCAAGCGAGACTCGATGTACCTATATCCTTATCACTATTAACGAGTCACGTTCAACACAGCGTTGATCATCGCACCTGCTCGTTCTAGCACATTCATTCGGGCATTATTTGATTATCATCTGCATTTGAGCATTTCGACCGACGTGAAGCATTCGCCTCTGCGTGTGGCCATAATTCATGATCGGTGTCGATCAAGAGATTTTTTTTTATTAGTGTTTTCCCTGAACCATATCCATCGCAGTTCAAATTTCAAAGAATTTGTAAAAAAAAAAAATGAGGTTGAATAATTCCTAATATTAACATACCTATTGTGGTTTTTCATTGACTTTCCTCTAAATTTCAAAAGCGTATATCTCTCATTCTGTCCGAGAGAGATAAACAAGTATTGATATATGCGAAAACCAGTGAAAGAAGTCTCAACAAGAAGGCTATGGCCATTATAGGTCTGTTATATAGTGTGTGTGTGTGTGTGTGTGTGTGTGTGTGTGTGTGTGTGTGCAAGGCTATCAGTAAATACTGCTTCTGCCGGCTTACACTGCTACACAAACCTCATGGCTCGATGTCCGTTATATTTACAAGAGCAACATGAGGCATGCGCTTGAAGCATGCGGCAGCAGGCAGAGCGCGAGGGTGTGCAACCCCGGGCTTTTTGTCACAATTATAGAGACGCATGAACAGTGAAACATCTAACCTGAGGTTCTCTATTGCTTTAAGAAACGCGTTGACATGATGATCCAGGCAACGACTGCAAGGAACGTGACTCCATCGGGAATGGACCTTAGGAATTAAGACATCATCCCACCGTTCCATCACATTCCAGCCTGAATTATTTTTTTTTTACTCAAGACTTTAGTCTCGGGGTCATGACTTGGTCACAAAGAATGTAGCCTCAGGTCAAGACCTTGTAACAGAAATTGAATTCTCGGCTCTGAACTTGCTCACAGAGTCCACATTCTTAAGACTAGGCCATAAAAACAACTTCCCAGGGCACATACTCTTCTCAGAAAAGTCCATACGAGTGATTCCTGCTATAATTTTTGAAATTTTAAGTAACTATCAATAAAGACATAAAACAAGAGGGGGGGATGAACAGCGTTCACCTCTTGTTATTGAATGTGTACGTCAAGCCACTAAGGCCCATTCCCCTGCCAAAAATTAATCGTATATTTAAAAGTTGGTCATTCATATTTTTACACTAGTTGAATAATATGATAATTAAATGTGTAAGATAAGTGTTTACAATCTAGGAGACAACTGTTGTAAAACTAATATCTTTTGGTATCACATCTAACCACACTGCACTTAGTAAGCAATGAAAGAAATGGTCATTGTAGCAATGCACTTCGTCCTTTGAGGATGCTTAGAGCACAGGAAGTGTAAGTAACTTTAGGTTCCTCTTGGCTCACAAGATTAGTGCCGACACCCGAACCATTTGTGTGTAATACACTTGTACGGCGAGGAGTATGGCTACACAGCCCTGGCTTGCTTTGGTGAGTGTGGCTACACAACCCTGGCTTGGTGTGGTGAGTGTGGCTGTAGCCAAAATTTCGTTGTTTAACCTTTGGTTCTCAGCGAAGGAGGTAGCGCCTAGCTGTGGCTTGTAGAGCTTCGAAAACTAACACTGACTAGTGTAGTGTTGTTTAGCTCTTGTAAAGGGAGGGAGGGAGGGAGGGAAGAAGGGTAGGCATAGAGGGAAGGAAGCGAAATGGGCAACGCACCGTGGGCTTGGCCGCGGCACGACCAAGACCAGACCATAGTCGGAATAACATCGACCAAGATTTTAATAGTCATGTGTGATTTGTAGGAATGTCATTTGTTGTCCACAAGAAGAACTGTGTGGTCTTGTGCTGGTGAGGAGTGTGGTGAGAGGGAGAGGTGGTGGTAACAACAGTAGTGGTGATTTAGTAGTAGGTTAGAACGTTAGTGGACTAAGAGTAGGTAATGTTGGCAGTGGTTCAAAGCAGGGTTTTTCAAACTGGGTTCCACGGAAGTCTACTGAGGTTACGGAGATCCTTCATGACTAGGAGACGTGAAATGACTTCACATTTTTTTTTTCATAAAACAGTGACTGGAGTATAGAAAAAGTTTCGACTGAAGGTCTTTGAAATACTTTCTCAATATTTTAAGGCAAATAATGAGATATCCAAGATTCAAGAAGAATACACGTCACAACGTGGCTGGAACCCTTCAGAAACTAACGTGCGCGCGCACACACACACCTATATAAGTCGACGTTTCGGTTCATCCTGGACTACTGTGATTCGACTATGGAACAAAACATATCTTCTCTCAGCTACTGGTAATTTGTGAACTGAAAATTCCTGTGTCAAGAGAAATGACAAGAGTTGATGTACAGTGCGTCGATGCTGTCACAAGCAGCAGCAAGAGGAGGAACTGGTAAACAGCTCATGATCACTCACTGCTCATCCTGGTTCACCAGGTTAGATTATCAAGGCATCCTAGTTTAGCTCTCTGGGTTCATGAGAGTAATGACAGGGTTAATGTCATTAGAGGCATGTTAAATGTGTCTTTTCTTTCAGTCAACATAATTAAACATGATGTAAAGAAGCTACACACGATGCTAAGTTGTAATGTTTACTCTCCTCGATGACTACAATGTCATTGAACTTTACTAAGTGAATGACAGTTCATGGCCTTTCGTGTTGCAGCCAACACTTCTTCAGGAGCTTGCAGAGGGAATAGAGATTCCGGGCAGATGCATCTATTAGTACGTCTGCTACCAGAAGAGAGGCGAAGGGGAGAGGCAGGCTGCACATGGCAGTCTAGTGCCAGGTGCTACAAGTTGAAGGAAGTATACATGATGCCTCAGCTCCCTTGCTAAGGAGAGGGTGAAAATTGCTTCTCTTGACTTGGCACAGGTTAAATCAGTTTATATCTGCGACAGAATGGTTCCATAGCTTCAAAACGTTTGAGAGCCCCAGATTTAGAAGACCAACCGAAATATTGGCACCGGGTTAGAAATCCAGCTGAAATGTTAGTAATAAATTGGAAGATCATTTGTAAGGTTAAAAATAGGTTAGAAGACCAAATATCCAACGGGCGGTGATTTTTTAGAGTCCGTGTTTGGTATACTGTCGGAGGTTTAGAAGACCAGGTTTAATGTTACTAGGGGGTTAAAAACCAGGTGTGGTTTTGCTGGTAGTTTTACAGTTTGGTTTCGGTGCTGGTAGAGGTTTAATTGACCAGACGTGGTGTTACGAATGGTTTAGAGAGCCTAGTGTGTGGTTTTGAAGGCCAAGTTTGAGGATAAAACAGGGAGGAACAGCCAACTTTTTAACTCTAGGCTGGTACTTACGATAACCTGCAGGTACTAATGGTATTTGGAATATTCGTAATAGTGAAGGTGAGGTACTGACTGGGACTGGTGGTAGTGAGGTACTTCAGCAGCCCTAGAACAATACTAGTACTAGGTTAACCCTAGGTTAGCACTATCCTAGTACTAGCACTGGGTTACAGTACTAGACTAGCACAATGACTGGGCTAGCATCAGCACTGGGCTAGTAACAGTACTAGGCTAGTTCTAGCACTGGGCTAGTAACAGTACTAGGCTAGTTCTAGCACTGGGCTAGTAACAGTACTAGGCTAGTTCTAGCACTGGGCTAGTAACAGTACTAGACTAGCTGTAGCACTGGGCTAGTAACAGTACTAGACTAGCTGTAGCACTGGGCTAGTAACAGTACTAGACTAGCTGTAGCACTGGGCTAGTAACAGTACCAGGCTAGCTCTAGCACTGAACCAGCACTGTGGCAGCACCAGCAATGGGCTAGCACCAGAACTGGGCCAGCACCAGAACTGGGCTAGCACCAGAACTGGGCCAGCACCAGAACTGGGCCAGCACCAGAACTGGGTCAGCACCAGAACTGGGCCAGCACCAGCACTCGGCTAGCACCAGCACTACGTCAAGCAGCTTCACCAGGTGCGCCCTTGCAGTGGGAAGTAACACATGTTGGGTGGGTTGTGGGGGGTGGCAGGCGGGGTGACCATGTGATGTGTGGGCGGCGTCATGCGAGCGTAGTCTCCGCTGATGGAGGAGACGGGCGGCAGGCAGCCGGGGGCGACCGACGACGCCACCCCGCCCACCACCGGCTCAGTCATCATGGGTGAGGAGCATCCACCCCCGCCACCCAGCCCACTGATCACGTGAGATCCTGAAACAAGTAACCAAAGTATTGTTAGTAGTAAACACACACACACACACACACACACACACACACACCGCAACCAAGAGGCCAAGTGTTTATCGACAATCGGTAATTATGACACCCACCCCCACGCACACACTCAAAACCACAACTAGTAACTGACACACACGCACATTCTCAGTAGAATCAGCAACACTGCTAACAATTCAATGAGGAAGAGTGTGCCAACGAGTTATGGACACAGTACACACAACCAGAGGAAAGGTGAAAACTACAGAATGAACTAAGTACCTCGAAAGCCATGGGGCTAGACAACATCTCTGTGGGTTCTGAGAGAACAAGAAGAGGAACTGTGTGAACCACCAACAGCAATCTTGAAGTTACTCGACACTGGGAAATTGCCAGAGTTCTAAAAAACACTGTAGTCCCAATATTTACAGACAAGGTAGGATTAAACTACAGGCCGGTGTCGCTGACATGCAGTGTATATACGTTTATGAAAATTATCATAAGGTTAATGGAGTATCTGGAAAGAAGCGGATTCATAAACGATGACAATTACGTCTTTAGAGATCGTAAATCATTGTTGCATAAACTTATAAAGTTCTACGACAAAGTAACAGAAGTGAGACGAGAGAGAAAAAGTGATAGGTTGGCCACACACTTGAAATGTAGGAATGCGTCCGATACAGTACTGGGATGGAAGTTAAAGGAGCAGGCAGGAATAACAAGGAAGGCACCAAAATGGGACAAGGAATTCTTAACAAGGAGGAGACAATGAGTTCTAGTCTGGGACATGATGTCGTACTGAGCAAAGTATGACGAGTGGGTTCCACAAGGGTCGGTACTGGGATCAGTACCGTTTCTTATGTAAATGAACACAAGAGAAGAAATTGAGTCAGAGGATGATGTGGAACTAATGAGAATACAAACGGAATCAGACAAGAAATGATTACAAACACAGGCCGCAGGATTGGTCTGACAAGTGGATATTAAAATTTAGCCCAGCAACTGCAAAGATACGAAAATCGAGGAAGGGCAAAGAAGAGCAAAAACAGAGCACATGCTTGGGGACAAAGGATGCAAATCTCTATTAAGGAGGAGGACCTCGGGGTTAGCATAACTCCAAGTATATTGCCAGAAGCGCACACAAGCCGAATTATCTACGCAACAGACGCGCATTTGGCAAATATAAGATTAGCTTTCATGAACCTCAACAAGGAGTCATTCACGATACTATATATGACATATGTCACTCATATTGGAGTATGCAGCACCAGTATGGAACCCCCATCTGATAAAGCACGTCAAGACGCTGGAAAAAGTACAGAGGTATGCAACATGACTAGTCCCAGAGACGTGGAGTCTGAACTATGAGAAGAGACTTAATATTGACGTAAAGATCGGAAGGATCAGCGTGACATAACCTACAAAATATTGAATGGGGTTGATAGGGTAGACATGAGCAGATTATTCAAGGGCACAGCTGGAAGCTGAAAACACAGTTGAATCACAGGGATGTCAGGAAATATTTCTTTAACCTTGCAGGTGTCAGAAAGTAAACAAGTATACAGTACTGTGGTGGAGGCAGAATGCATACATAATTTTAAGAAAAGGTATGAGAGGGTTCACACAGCCAGGAGTGGGGAAACTCAGTAGTGCCCAGCGTAGAGGTGAGGCCAGGAGCTGAGTTCGACCCCTGCAACCATAAATGAGTACGTACGTACACACACACACACACACACACACACACACACACACACACACACACACACACACACACACACACACACACACACACACACACACACACACATACACACATACACACATACATAACAAGGAGTGTTACATACCAGAGAGATGAACTGAGCCGGAGTAAGAAGTGGGCGTGTGGTGATGGTCGTGCAGTTGCTGCTGTGTGGGCGCGTGGTGCACGGGCGGCGGCTGCGGCTGGGAGGTGATGGGCGTGGAGGCTGGCGTGGAGTGGGTGGGTGTGTCGATGTGGTGATCGTCACCGCCCCCGCTGGGGCAAGGTTTCCCGTCCTTAACTAGAACAGGCACAGCTACCCTCCGGGGTGACCCAACTGACTGTAGCAAAACAATATTAAAAATAATAATACAAATAATAATAAGCTGGATCAGTTCAACCTGAGATTCTCTTTGGCGCCTTCAACACTGGCTGCCTCGATCCTCTTTACTTTTTAACCTCATTCTGTACACACGTTATTCTATACACCAAGATTTATATATTTCCTACCTGCTGTTGGGTACTCAGGGCAGCGCTAACATTATTATTATTATTATTATTATTATTATTATTATTATATAAATGGTAGGTGCTCAAGTGTTGGGTGAAAGGCATTTGTGTTCCTAATGACGTTGTGTGTGTCACCAGGCTGCCAGCGGCAAAAGTCTGGTTGACCAGGCTAACATCGGAAAGATTTGGCTTCAAGTTTGGCTGCAGGGTTAGGATGACTCTCGAAACAGGTCAGTCACACGTCAATCAGACCCCTCGTGATTCTCACTTACATAAGAAACGACTCTCACTGACGTAAGAACTGACTCACAGCGACGTATTCTAATACGGGCAATGCAAACATATTTCAAGCACACTGAACCTTCATCAAAGCAACGTTTCGCTTAAAGAAGCCTTTACCAAATAACCTTCAACAAAACGCTCTTAATACATGCTTGCTCTGCTCTAAGGCCACCACATCAGCCATCTTGTCGGCACTCTGCCTTCAAGACGGACACTGACACATAAAACAAAGTAAATTACGTTTCTGTGGTAGAAGATAAGAAAGGAACACTGCAGTAGGCCTACTGGTCCATCTTTATCAAACCCACTAACAAAAAACATTCACCCAACCCATTTTCCATGCTGCCAGAGGAATAAGGTTTGATAGCCTTATTAACTCATGTGCAAGTCCCACTCAAATCCATCAGCTCTCGTGTTTTTATCTAACCTAAATTTGAAGCTTTAATGACTCTAATAAGCAGACAGTTCCACTCGTCGACTACTGTTTACAAACCAGTATGACTCACGAAATCGTAATGACACGATTGCAAACAAACCATACCACGGGTGGGGTTTGATCCCGCGGTCAGAGAGTCTCAAAACTCCAGATAGTCGCGTTAGCCACTGGGCCAGCTAGCTAATGCGACGGTCTGGAGTTTTGAGACTCTCTGACCGGGGGATCAAACCCCACCCGTGATATGGTTTGTTTACAAACCAGTACTCTCTATATCACAAACTGTAATATAAATGACATGGCAGTTTCTCCCACGTACTTCTTGTCGCGTTCACTTCAAGGTATTGCATATACTCTTGCGCTGGTCCAAGGTTCCCTCTTGTGTTTCTGCCCTAAGGTTCATTTTCCTCTAGTGTCCTTTTCTACTAACTGGTATGGGATACTGGCCTGACAGGTGTGTGGGATACTGGCCTGACAGGTGTGTGGGATACTGGCCTGACAGGTGTGTGGGATACTGGCCTGACTGGTGTGTGGGATACTGGCCTGACAGGTGTGTGGGATACTGGCCTGACTGGTGTGTGGGATACTGGCCTGACTGGTGTGTGGGATACTGATCTGACTGGTGTGTGGGATACTGGTCTGACTGGTGTGTGGGATACTGGTCTGACTGGTGTGGGGATACTGGTCTGACTGGTGTGTGGGATACTGGTCTGACTGGTGTGTGGGATACTGGTCTGACTGGTGTGTGGGATACTGGTCTGATTGGTGTGTGGGATACTGGTCTGACTGGTGTGTGGGATACTGGTCTGACTGGTGTGTGGGATACTGGTCTGACTGGTGTGTGGGATACTGGTCTGACTGGTGTGTGGGATACTGGTCTGACTGGTGTGTGGGATACTGGTCTGACTGGTGTGTGGGATACTGGTCTGACTGGTGTGTGGGATACTGGTCTGACTGGTGTGTGGGATACTGGTCTGACTGGTGTGTGGGATACTGGTCTGACTGGTGTGTGGGATACTGGTCTGACTGGTGTGTGGGATACTGGTCTGACTGGTGTGTGGGATATTGGTCTGACTGATGTGTGGGATACTGGTCTGACTGGTGTGTGGGATACTGGTCTGACTGGTGTGTGGGATACTGGTCTGACAGGTGTGTGGGATACTGGTCTGACAGGTGTGTGGGATACTGGTCTGACAGGTGTGTGGGATACTGGTCTGACAGGTGTGTGGGATACTGGTCTGACAGGTGTGTGGGATACTGGTCTGACAGGTGTGTGGGATACTGGTCTGACAGGTGTGTGTGTGTGTGGTACAGGACCTGACAGGTATAAGTACTTACCTGACTACCTGAGGAGCTCTGCTCAGACATGGCCTTCTCCTTGGCCGCTCGCTTCATCTTGTACCGGTGGTTCTGGAACCAGATCTTCACCTGTGGGAGAACCAGGACACGTTACACTCTTGTATCGTCGGTAACAGACGGTGGATCGAGCCCCCAATCACAGATACGTCGTTAGTACTTTGCGTAAAATAAGTGGAATGTTTATAGCATTTCCATTCAACACCAGAAAGAACTAGATCAACCCTCCTCATCCTCGTATCAAATTTGTGTGTCATTCTTTTTTAACCCTTACAAATTTAGCGGTTCCCTATGAAAAATGATAATAATGATTAATAATAATAATATTACTGACAAAATTATTAATTTTTATATTAACATGAAAAAAAATGTATGAGAGATCATTTTAGAAAGGACTTACTTTTAAAGGAGTTCTTACTCAATGACTAGTTTTATATGTCGTGCCGAATAGGCAAAATTGGTCAATTAGCAAGAACTCTTTTAAAATGAAGTTCTTTCTAAAATTTTCTCTTATACGTTTAAAGATATATATATTTTTCATTTATGTTGCTGTAAAAATTAATAATTTTGTACCCAAAGAACATTAGAAAACTTACCTAACCTTATAATAAGAAGCGCAATTTAATTTAGCCTAATCCAACTAAATATATTTTAAATAAGTTTACAATAATTTAATAAACAAACATAATGAAATATATTTTTTTTTGTTACTCAGTGATTTTTGCGAAATTACTGCATATACAAATTTTCGCTTGCCTTGTTCAGCAAGAAGAGCGTTGCTATTTAAGCCAAAATGGCAAGTTTTCACTTATTCGGCACGACATGGGTAAGTGGAACAGAATTCTTCCTCCGTAAGCCATGCGTGTCTTATGAGGCGACTAAAATGCTGGGAGCAAGAGGTTAGTAACCCCCTTCTCCTGTATACATTACTAAACTACCTCGGTGGGATACGCCCGGTATGGTGAAATAAATAATTATATATATATATATATATATATATATATATATATATATATATATATAATATATATATATATATATATATATATATATATAATACATACATGCAAAATTGATAATGGGTGTATATTTTTTTGTGAGCATAAGAGCGTCCGCGTAATAATGTGGCTCTGGGACATAAAAAGACGGTGTCAGTGCCAGTGCTGGTTCCCGGGGGTCGCGCCGTCGGCAAGCACCGTTCAATTACACGCTGCTACAAACATCCTCATTTTTTTAGCGACTAAATCCAACAGCGCCTCATTTCTAATGGCCGCTAGATCCCGCCAATCAAATTTGGGCTATGAAGCTATTATACATTTCGCGATATTATAGGAAAAAATAAAAAATGGCAAAGCAGGAGGAAAAAAAATATTTGGAACAATGTAATTGTATATATAGCAGCTGTTTGTTGTTGTTGTTGTTGGTGTTGGTGGTGGTGGTGTTGGTGGGTGGTTGGTGTGGTGTTGGTGGTGGTTGGTGGTGGTGGTGGTTGTGTGTTGGTTGGTTGGTGTGTGGTGTTGGTGGTGGTGGTGTTGGTGGTGGTGTTGGTGGTGGTGGTGGTGGTTGGTGGTGTTTGGTGGTTGGTGTGGTGGTTTGGGTGGGGTGTGTGGTGGTGGGGTGGGTGTGGTGGGTGGTGTGGTGTTGGTGGTGGTGTTGGTGGTGGTGTTGTTGGTGGTGGTGGTGTTCGTGGTGGTGGTGGTGGGTGGTGTGTCGTGGTGGTGGTGGTGTGGTGTTGGTGTGGTGGTGGTGTGGTGTTGTGGTGGTGGTGTTGGTGGTGGTGTTGTGTGTGTGTGGTGTGTGGTGGTGTTGGTGGTGTGGGTGTGTGTTGGTGGGGTGGTGGTGGTGTTGGTGGTGTGTTGGTGGTGTTGGTGGTGGTGTGTTGGTGTTGGTGGTGTGTGTGTGGTGTGTTTGGGGTTGGTGGTGGTGGTGGTGTGTTGGGTGGTGGTGGTGGTGGTGTGTGGGTGTTGTGTTGGTGTTGTTGTTGGGTTGTTGGTGGTGTGGTGTTGGTGTGTTGGGGTGTTGGTGGGTGTTGGTGGTGTGGTGGTGTTGGTGGTGGGTGGTGTTGGTGGTGTGTGGTGGTGTTGGTGGTTGGTGTGTGGTGGTGGTTGGTGGTGGTGTGGTGTGGTGGTGTTGGTGGTGTGTGGTTGGTGTGTGGTGTGGTGGTGGTGGTGTTGGTGGTGGTGGTGTGGTGTGGTGTTGGTGGTGTGTGGTGTTGGTGGTGTTGGTGTGGTGGTGGTGTTGGTGGTGGTGTGTGTTGGTGGTGGTGGTTGGTGTTGTGGTGTGTGGTGGGGTGGTGGTGGTGGTTTGGTGTGTGGTGGTGGTGTTGGTGTGTGTGGTGGTGTTGGTGGTGGTGTTGGTGGTGGTGTTGGTGGTGGTGGTGGTGGTGGTGGTGGTTGGTGGTGGTGGTGGTGTGTGGTGGTTTGGTGGTGTTGGTTGTGTGGTGTGGTGTTGGGTGGTGTGGTGTTGTGTGTGTGGTGGTGTTGTTGTTGGTGGTGTTGGTGTGGTGGTGTTGGTGGTGGTGTGGTGGGTGGTGGTGGTGTTGTTTGGTGGTGTGTTGGTGGTGTTGGTGGTG